CGTCTGATCTTCAGCATACAGTGAAAACTCCACGGGGTATGTAACTGTAAGGCCGTTTGCTCCAAAGGGTCTACACCCGCTATTAACTTAGAGCAGCTTATTCATCAGTTAGACTTTATTTTGAAGTGTTAATGATTTGCTTATTGAGAAAGTGGTTTTTAACTAATGAGGAATTTTAATTCTAGAAACCCAGTTCTGTGCTGTGTTGATGTTATGATGGCGCATCCCCGGTGATGAGGGCAGAAGGGGGTGACAGGAGGATGAGCGGGTTGATAAGACAACACCAACTCGGTGGACGCAAGTCTGAGCAAAGTCCCCTGTGGGAAGACGGACGTGGCTACAGTTCACAGGGTCATGAGGAGTTGGACATGACTTAGCGGCTGAACCACCGGCCCCACCCAGGCGGCTCGGTGGTCAAGAATCCACCTGCCCACGCAGGCAGGATCCACAGGAGACGGGGGTTCGATCCCTAATGCTAAGGATGACTTCATCTGGAAATTCCTCTGTATTTCAGGGTGACAGTATTAAGAATATTAGTAGTAACTGTCTCAGTTCCTTCATCTTTTGCCTGAGATAAAGCATTTGATGTTAGAAGGCTTTTATCCTTTTTGACAGTTTCAAACACCTTGGACTTAAAAAGAATATTTCAGATCTCTTATACATTAACTGAATAGCATCCATATATAAACAGTGTTCACCATTCACCAGATATTTCTATTATCTTCCTCACTTATTCAGGCTTGTCTGTGATTAATGGAGTTGGTGTCAGATGCTGGAATTTATTCTGACCAATGAACACAGCTGACTCAGGGGAGTATGATCTCCTGCCAAGTAATAGAACAAAACCCAATATGCATAAAACAAATACGAGGCTTCAGCTGAGGGAAGCAACTACCTGTGTAATAACAAAGCAGCAAAAACTCTCATGTGGCTGCATAGGCTGTGCATTGTATCTAATCTCTCAGGGTAGCTTATTGGTTTGCCTTTTTCAAAAACAAGATTGGAAATTTTTCTTAAAATGAGTCATATGACATAATGGCTTGATTAATGTTTTGAACAATGCCAAGACATTGTTTACTTAAACTATTTTTGTTTGAAGTGGATGTGAAATACTGTCCTTGCCTAAATATTTCAGGGTCAGGTGCTAATTATTAGTTAAGACATCTTGTTAAATCAACTTTCGAAGAGACAGTGCTTTTGCATCTGAACACTAAGGTAGCAATCAAACAGGTATGCTAGAAAATCAGTGGCTGATTTTCCTGACAGTTCAAAGTGCTAAACAAATGTAAAACTGTAGGAAAAATTAACCCCCCAACATTTCCCCAAATGTACCCTTTATGATCGTTTCTGTTAATGGTAAGATTCAAAGAGAAATGAGAGAATGGCCCATCTGTAGCTTATTTGAAATGGAAAATTTTGTTGACTTATGTCCCACTAGCTGGAACTTACTCCAAAGTAGTGGTCCCCAATATTTTTGGCACCAGGGACCGGTTTCATAGAAGCCAGTGTTTCCATGAATAGGGTTGGGGGATGGTCAGGATGATTCAAGTGCATCACGTTTATTGTACATTTTATTTATTTATACTATTACATCACTCCACCTCAGATCATCAGGCATTAGATCCCAGAGGCTGGGGACCCCTGCTCCAAAAGACTCACTTGAGAATTTCTTTCATCTCCAGGTGTTTTTCTTCTTCCCATTTTTAAAGTCTTTAATTTGTTAACAATATCATTTATGTCTTGGTTTTTTCAGCCTCGAAGCATACTGGATCCCAGCTCCTGCCTTGGAAGGCAGTCTTAACCTTTGCACCACCAGGGAAGTCCTTAGTCTCCAGGTTTTTATAAGGATAACCCAGTTTAGCACTTCCATAATTCAAGAGTGAAAAGAACATTGATAACCAAAAAAGGCTCTTGATCCCTTCATTACCTAAAACAGAAGTTACATCTTCTCTAAAAGGAAACTGAAGTTCTGCTGGAAAGGAACCTAATTTGTAAGCAGAGCAGGGATGTGACTCCCTGCAAACCAAGAACCGGAGCAGAGGGGGAGAGTTCAGACCTCAACCACTGAAGGGCTGAGTCCTGGGGAACCGAGCAGAAGCGCCTTCTGCAGAAGGCAGCTCGCACAGGGCAGAAGGCGGGGCACGGGAGAACCAGAGTCAGGGCGCATGCGCTGCGGGCCGAGGCGGGGGGGCCAGCGGGAGGGGCGCCAGTGGATGGGAACCACAGGGACGTGTTTACACTCTCTAAGCTATTCTGTCCAGTAGCTGTGAGGAAGTGACATCTGCACAGATGAACTGTCCACATAAGAATGAAGCTGGCCCCTCTGACTGTAATTAAAATTACGAAATAGCCACAGGTTGTGTGTAGCTTTTCAAAGTATTTTTCCCTTTCTTCATTTAAGTCAGTAGACTGCACAACAGAAAAAGGGCCCCAGGGGAGCATGGGCTTGCTTACCCCCACACCGTGCTGTCTGCTGCCGTGGTCTCCCGCCTTTTGATCTGTGCACAAGTGCTGCAGCACCTACCCGTGTGGGTGAGTTCCTCTCTTTCTGAGGTCCCCAAAACACTTAAGAGACTCCTGCACCTTACCTGATAAAGGTGCTGGTGCTGGGCACCGAAGAGTTTCCAATTTCTAGAGGGACCAAGTAGAAAAGGAAAATGTCTCAATTCTACTTAACAAAAGTGTAATTTACCAAGTTGCTATAAGTGGTAATTAGCTTGAGGGGAAAAGTTTCCTTATATCTGGAAAATACAGATTGCAAACCAGATATTTTAGCCAAAAGCCAAAAAGATTATAATCTTGTCTATCAGTTCATTCTGTTTCATAGGACTGGGGCCTAAGTTAAATCTTGTCCTAGTAGGCAGGAATTTCTATTTGTGATTTTAATAAAAAACATCTATTTCTGTTTTATTGACTATGCCAAAGCCTTTGACTGTGTGGATCACAATAAACTGTGGAAAATTCTGAAAGAGAGGAATACCAGATCACCTGACCCACCTCTTGAGAAACCTGTATGCAGGTCAGGAAGCAACAGTTAGAACTGGACATGGAACAACAGACTGGTTCCATATAGGAAAAGGCGAGTACGAAAAGGCTGTATATTGTCACCCTGCCTATTTAACTTCTATGCAGAGTACATCATGAGAAACGCTGGGCTGGAAGAAGCACAAGCTGGAATCAAGACTGCCGGAAGAAATATCAATAACCTCAGATACGCAGACAACACCATCCTTATGGCAGAAGGTGAAGAGGAACTAAGAAGCCTCTTGATGAAAGTGAAAGAGGAAAGTGAAAAAGTTGCTTAAAGCTCTACATTCAGAAAACAGATCATGGCATCTGGTCCCATCACTTCATGGGAAAAAGATGGGGAAACACTGGAAGCAGTGTCAGACTTTATTTTTGGGGGCTCCAAAATCACTGTAGATGGTGACTGCAGCCATGAAATTAAAAGACGCTTACTCCTTGGAAGGAACGTTATGACCCAACCTAGATAGCATATTACAAAGCAGAGACATTGACATTACTTTGCCAACAAAGGTCCGTCTAGTCAAGGCTATGGTCTTTCCAGTGGTCATGTATGGATGTGAGAGTTGGACTGTGAAGACAGCTGTGAAGACAGCTGAGCACCAAAGAATTGATGCTTTTGAACTATGTGGTGTTGGAGAAGACTCTTCAGAGTCCCTTGGACTGCAGGAGATCCAACCAGTCCATCCTAAAGGAGATCAGTCCTGGGTGTTCATTGGAAGGACTGATGCTGAAGCTGAAAGTCCAATACTTTGGCCACCTCATGAGAAGAGTTGACTCACTGGAAAAGACCCTGATGCTGGGAAAGATTGAAGGCAGGAGGAGAAGGGGACGACAGAGGATGAGACGGCTGAATGGCATCACTGACTCGATGGACATGAGTTTGAGTAAACTCCGGGCACTGGTGATGGACAGGGAGGCCTGGCATGCTGCGATTCAGGGGGTTGCAAAGAGTCAGACACGACTGAGCAACTGAACTGAACTGAACTGATGTAAATACATATATATACATATATGTAAATACATATAAAGTACCTGGAAACTAGTTGCAGTGGCTGTGGTGAAGAGCTAACAGTCTGTATGGAAAAAAGAGCAACTTTTAATATAAAAGTTCAGCCTGCAACCAAATTACTGCATTGGGACAGAAAATTTTTACACTTATTACTATGTTACAAAATGGTCATTCATCCTTATAAAGAAGACTTTTAAAAACATTAAAATATTTCCAGTGGCAGAATTAACAGGTCATGGAGTGTTAATACACTTTAGGAAATTTCCTATTGAAGATGTAAGCAGGGACTTCCCTGCTGGCCCACTGGTTAGAACCCTCCCTGCCTGGGACAGGGGTATGATGCCTGCTCAGGGTACTAGGATCCCACACGGCACAGGGCAACTCAGCCTGAGTGCGGCAGCTGCTGAGCCCAGGCACCACTACTAGACAGCGTGCGCCACAATGGAAGGGCCCACACTGCAACTGAGACCTGATGCAGCCAAGTAAATTTAAAAAAAAAAAAAGTAAGTAAAACTAACTGATGTATAAGCACTTGTCTATGTTTCCAAATAAGCCTTCACTACTGACAGTCACTGAAGCGCACTTACCTCGCCTGAGACACTGTGCTGCATACTCCACTTCCTGCAACACACAGTTAGTCCCCACATCCACAGTCTCTGTAACTATGGAGACCACTCACATCCACAGCTGCTTAGTTATTAATAAAACGGTCAAGCCAGGCTCATGACCACCCTGCGACACTGCGCAGTTACTAACTCCTCTGCAGACTGTCCACTCCTGCTCCCAACCTTTGGTCACTTCTGGCTCCATGATTAGTCCATATATTGACAGATAATATTCGTGTGGCAACCTAAAATTCAGTGTCACTGTTAGAGAACTATAGTTGTGAGACCATCTATTTAAAATCCATTATGACCAGGCAAACAATGTCCCAGTTCCCTGCTTACTCTTATCAGTCAATAACTTGGAGGTTAAAAAAAAATCTTTATTTCAAATAAAGTTATTTCCATAATTAAGGATAAAGGAAACACACTTCCCTGAGTCCATTATTTCAGGTAACTGATTTCCATGAGCATCATCTTGAATATTTGCCTACATACTTGTGGGAAGCTTCTGTAGCCTTTTCTTGGTAGGAATTCCAGTTCTTCTGAATTCCTCCCTTTCCTTCAGGTATTCCATTTTGCATTCTTCATAAAAGGCTGGATCTTTATAGCTTCGAGAAGGAAAACAAAAATGTTTTAAAGCAAATCATTTTGCAAGCATGTAATAAAAGCCTGATTTAATAATAAATTCAGACATCCAGTTCATCAAGCACAATCTTTACAAGTAGGTTTTTTAGGAATAGTCATAAATTCATTATAAAGATGAGGCTACCAAATGAAAGGAAAAAACAAAAAACCTTAACAGTTCTTTCTTGAATAGCAATGTCCCAGGATAGGGCAGTGGGGAGCAGGGCCACGTCCTCAGGGGCCGGTGTGAGCAAACGTCACAATGACATGCACACAGCACGCGTGTGGCCCACGGCACCAGGGAGAGACGGGGTGAAGAGGAGAATGGGGAGCTGGCGGGGAGACGTGTGAGCTGCATTTTGGAGGACCAACAAATCCCCATAGAAGGCCCACGAGGAAGAACCCACAGATGAGGGAAACTGAGCTATGTGGAGAACTACATGTAGCTGGTACCACGACAGCAGGTCATGGGCTGGAGAAAGGGCCTGAGATGCAGCTGGAAAGGCCAGGGCCACATCATGGCATCCATTCCTGCCTCATGAGAGGCCCAATCTGCCCTAGACGGGCACTGTTAACAGAGTGGCTGGGAGATCAGCTCAGGGCCTTGGATGAATCTCACCGTGTGGAGTGTGTGTGGCCTGTGGAGCACACACAGGCCAAGGGGGGCCAGGGGACAGCAAGGTTAGAGGCCGAACGCCCAATAAATAAACTACTACAATAATCCAGACAGGAAATGACAAGGCCTTATGATCTAAAGAAGTCAGCTTTCTGGTGAAAAGGATGCAGTGCAGCTGGGAGAGACTGGGGAAATGCAATCAGGAAGATCCTGGATCCTAGATGATCAGAATTGACAAGGAGCTGAGTTCAGTATGGGACCTGCAGGAGGAAGCAGAGAAATGCCATGAGCCCCAGGAAGCACTGAATTCCACGGGTGCAGACTGAGCTTTCTCAGATCAAAGATGGAGAGGAGAACCCAGGCAAGTAGCTTTCAGGAAGAGGTTAAGGAGGAAAAGGTGAAGAAGTAGGCAGAGACAGTGGGAAGACAGGGTGAAAGGGGGTCTAGTAACAGAAAGAATGTAAAAGACACTTGGTGGAACCTTTAGAAACACAGTTCCAGGGGTGAGGGCAGAAGCCAGACATGGTCACTGAGGGATGAGTGAGATGAGACAGGGAGAAATAAAAGAACAGAAAGCATCAATGCCTCCTGTGTCACTGGGCAGAGATGCAAGAGGGTAGTAGGTCCACCCACAAATGTCCACAGTAGATACAACAAAGCCACCTCTTGTGCAAAGATGAAGAAACAGTATTTCTTCAAGTATGTTGAGACTTGTAGTGCTAGTGCTAAGTCGTTTTAATCGTATCTGACTCTCGGTGACCCTATGGACCACAGCCTTCCAGGCTCCTCTGTCCAAGGGATTCTCCAGGCAAGAACACTGGAGTGGGTTGCCATTTCCTCCTCCAGGGGATCTTTCTGACCCAGGGGTCAGACCCGCATCTGCACTGGCAGACGGGTTCTTTCCCACTGAGCCACCTGGTGGAGGCTGGTGCTCAAGCAGAATTCTTCCTCAGCAGCTCTCACCCCCTTCCCACAGTGTCCATCCCTCCCTCGGTCTCCCCGCGGCTCCTCTCTCTTCTCAGCAGCGGGAGCCTCCCCCAAACCCCCAGCCCCCGGAGGGTCTAGGACCTCTCTTCCCCTCTCAAGGGCGAGAGATGGCGGGATACTCCAAGATTAATGCTCACATGACAGAAGCTGAAAATAACACAGACGAACTTTTAACAAGAGCCAGCATCTACCGAGTACCTGGTATCAGGACCCTCTACATGCCCAGCGCTGGAGAGATGTGTTCCCACGCGTGGAATAATCACCCTGCTGGACAGCGAGGGCCTGCCCAGGGCCCGGGAGAGCTAAACCCAGGGAGCCTGGGGACCAGCCTGCCGCCCTGCCCCCAGTCCTGCTCCCAGCTTCAGGGCCGCGCTGTCCCAACTAAGAGTAACAGGCACAATGCAGACAGAAACTGAGGTGTCAGAAGCCACTAATCAGGCGCACAGGGAATTCAACAAATTCAGTCACACAGAGGCAAGAGGTCCATATTCATCCAGGATCTCCTGGGAGCTCCAGGGACCAGAACTCTTATTTCTCTAGTTACATGCTCAGGGCAGGTCTGGGCTCACAAGAAAGAGCAGCTGTTAGAATTGTTTTTATTTATTATTAACTTGAGAAAAGACATGGACTTGTAGTGTGTTTCCTTATTTATAAATGCAGACAATCAGTATTCTAAAAGAAGGTGTAAATCCATGTGTCCATTATTTGTTATCAAAAAAGAAAACACTTTAAGATCCTGATAATCACCACTTTCTTTTTATGTAATCATCTAAGAAGTAGCTAACATAGATGCTGGCAGGCCAGGCGAGCGGAGTACAGAAGGTACTGATCTGATCTGACCTCACAGTTGTCTGGTGTCACAGACAACTGCCAGCTACCTACTCACGAAAGCACTGCATCTGCCACGCTACCTGTCAGTAATGTGAGTGATGATGAAATCTGGGGAGATGAGCAGAAAGCACCTGCATTCAAAGAACTCCACACATTTTCACTTTAAGACTCAACAAACTACAATGAAGTATCAGTGAACACATTTAAGAACTATTTTTTAAAGTAATTTAACTTCAGAAATCTAAATATACCTTTGTTTCCTTCATTTGATTTATTACAACTCTCCTAGAAGTTAAATTATATTCATCCAAAAGATCCTAAGGCTGGTAAAATTACCTTTTCATTAAAGGATGAACATAAGCATAATATATTCGATAGATCAACCGGTTCATGAAAAAGCATTTTATTAAATCCTATGAAAAATCATGTATTTTTGTGGCTGACCTAATATTTAAATCAGATAAAATGCTGACAAACACACATAACTTGAAAAGACCCTTCATAAATATGTTGTATCACTTGTCTTAGAAGCATTAAAATTTTTAATTTTAAAATTAAAATTAAAATTTTAGACTCAGCCAACAATATGATGAATCTGGTGGGGGAGAAATACAGAATATATGACATGTAGTGAGTTAAATAACACACTCTTACCTCCAACACATTACACACACATACACGCAGGAACACAAATACCACGGTAACTACTTACTAAGAGGTGAGACAGTCTTTCAGTGCAGAGTTTTCCTTCCGGCATTTTACTACCATAAGGACTCCAGAGTCCTTGCAACACTTAGTGAAATCTGAAATAAAAAATTTGGAAGAGAAAAGATGATCTGTAATTACATCTCTATAATTTTAAACAGCTCTAAAATCTTCGTTCATGTAACATCTATGGCCTAGACTGTGCTTGTCCACAAAGACGTGAACGTGAATAAAAGGTGGTGGATCTGAAAGGAGGGAGGGGACCCCTGAGGTAAAGAAGGAGTTGGCTTCACAGTGACACGCGGAATGCAGAGACGAAGCAGGATTTCTAACTCAGACATAACTTCATTTTACTGCTTTGCAGAGACGGCATTTTTCACAAATGGAAGGTTTGCGGCACCCTCCACCAAGCAAGTCTACCGGCATCATTTTTCCAGCAGCATTTGTTCACTTCATGTCTCTGCATCATATGCTGGCAATTCTTGCAGTGTTTTAAACTCCTTCAGTATTATACTTGTCATGGTGGCCTGTGGTCAGTGACCTCTGATGCGCCTACTGTAACTGCAGACGCGGAGAAAACAGCAGGAGAGCTAGAGTTAGAAGTGGGGCTGAAAGATGGGATGGACTGCTCCGCCTCCGGATCACACCTGACCCGAGAAGCTGTTTCTTAAGAATGAACAAAGACGGCGGTGTCCTGAAATGGAGTCTATTCCTGGTGAGGATGCTATCAACCCTGCTGAAATGACAACAGAGTGTTTCTGCTGAAATGACAACAGAGTGTTTAGAATATTACATAAATTTAGTTGATAAAGCAGCAGCAGCAGGGTTTGAGAGGACTGACTCCAATTTTGAAAGTTCTCCAACCGAATCAAATGCCACCAACTGGCACACTGCAGGCAGAAGAGAAATCGTTCCTAAAAGGAGGAGTCCTATGCAGCAAACTTTATTATTGCTGTCTTATTCTAAGAAACCCACCTCAACCTTCAGCAACCCCACCCTGGTCAGTCAGCAGCCACCAACATCAAGGCAAGACCCTCTTTCTGCAAAAAGATTACAAGTCACTCAAGGATCAGGGCTCAGAGGAGCGTTAGCATTTTTCAGCAATAAAGTATCCTTACTGAAGGCACGTACAGAGTTTTTTAGACGTAATGCTGCTGCACACTTTGTAGACTACAATGCAGTGTGGGTGTAACTTTTATATGCGCCAGGAAGCCAAAGACGGCATGACTCGCTCTGCTGTGATACTGAGTGTTTGCACTGGTCTGGAAACAAACCCACAGCATGTCCAAGGTCTGTCTACAGAGAGGAAGCATGTACTCCACGGACGGACAAGGTCCCGCTGTGCAACACAGGCAGCTATGGTCAATGTCCTGTGACAAACCATCATGAAAAGAGTATTTTAAAAGGATACACGCACATATACACACACGTACACACACGTGTGTGTGTGCTCAGTCACTTCAGTCGTGTCTGACTCTTTGCAACCCCATGGACTGTAGCCCGCCAGGCTCCTCTGCCCCTGGGATTCTCCAGGCAAGAATACTGAAGTGGGTTGCCATGCCCTCCTCCAGGGGATCTTCCCGACCCAGGGATCGAACACACGTCTCCTGTGTCTCTTGCATTGCAGGCAGGTTCTTCACCACTGAGCCACCAGGGAAACTCATAAACACACACACACACACACACACACACAAACACACATATATATACACCCATAAACTTATATATATATAAAACGGAGTCACTTCATTGTACAGCAGAAATTAACACACTATAAATCAACTATACTCCCAATTTTTTGTTTTTTTAATAAAGGAGTATATTGCAGAAGAAATGTGTAGGAAGACTAAAGGGGTTGTATCAGACACCAGCCCTCCTGGGGCTGAGTTTCTATGACTTCTGATGGCATCCTTCAACCCCTTCAGACAACCTGCCATGGTCCTTTACTTTGATCCCAGGGCTCCCATCCCATTCCCGAGTAACTCTGAAGCGCCCCAGAATCCAAATGGCTTTCTATCACATTTCCATTCTGGTAGTTTGCCCTTCAAATCATACTGGCCCCCTCAGGAGCCTGCCTTCTCAGGAACCCCAACCCAGAGAACCCTGGTGCCGGAGTCCAGCCACAGCGGGCCTGCTGCTCAAGCCAGTCTGCGCTGGGAGGGACCAGCTTGCCCCTCAGCCCCTCCTGGAGACGGGGTGCGGGGCGCCCCTGCTCTAGCAGCGACTCTCCCCAGCTGTCTCTGTCTCTCCCCTCCCGGGTGGTCTCTAGTCCCAGCCTCGGCCACCTCCCGGCTGTAACCAGCCACGTCCATGTCAGACTTTAAAGTACGACACCAAGAAGCTTGTATCATCATTTAGTATCGAATTATCAGGATTCTCTTCTTACCCTCCGAGCTACTAAGGAATATGATTTACAATCATCTTAAGACAAGCAGGTAACTTCAGGAGTCCCCATGAAGACATGTAACGTGTAACCAAAGTGGCTTTAAACCACAGGCAAACTGAAAATGACTGAGATTTGTAAACGCACGAGAACTTCGAGGGGCTCTGCCGGACCCAGAGGCCTAGGGCGCGGACGGCTGTCTGTCTGCAGCATCAGCGCAGTCTGTGGGGTGCGGCGGGCGGAAACCAGGCCTGCGGGTGCGGGAGGGGCCTTCAGGGCATGTCTGGTCACAGCCGCGGGGCAGGGGTGCTCCAGTGCAGGTCACAGGCTCCGGGAACTGGCTCACCAGGCTCAGGACTGCCGCAGTTCACTCTGCGTCCTGAACTGAACCAGGCGTCCGTCACACTCACCAACACACGCTCTTGTGGCCTCTGCGCCAACGACCTGGGCATGTGGCCGAATCAGGGCGAAGGGGCCTTCCTGTGTCCTCTGCAACCCAACAAGGCAAAGCAGAGGCTTCCTGGTGACTCAGGGGAAAAGAAACCGGCCTGCCAGGGCAGGAGGCACGGCTTCGATGCTTGAGCCGGGAGGACCTCACATGCACGACTAAGCCTTGTGCAACACGACTCCGGGGCCTGTGCTCTAGAGCCTGGAGCCACCGCTACCGAAGCCCGTGCGCCCTAGAGCCCGTGCTCCGCAACAAGAGAGGCCACCGCAGTGAGAAGCCCGCGACTGGAGAGGAGCCCCGCTCTCCACAGCAACAAAGGCCCAGCACGGCCAAAGAGAAATAAGCAAAATTGGTTTTTTTTTTTTAAGGGAAAAAAAAAACATTTCTTTTTTAAAGAAAAGGCAAAGTAAATGCAAGATCAGTTCATTCTCATTGGAGGTCCTGAAGGGAGGCAGCAAGCCCATGAAAGTCCACCAACCTGCACTCTGGAAGTCATGAGCATCCTTACACATTAACTGCTCTCCACACAGCCTGATGGTAAGACCTGCCTTTCCATAGGCAAGGGTTATGATCCTAAGCAAGAATTAAAGCATGAGCTACCCTCAAAAGGAGTATGAACACAAAATTGATCCAGAGGTGGTGAATGTTCAGCGATGGTGACGGGCCATGGGTTTGCTCCTCGCAGCCCACTGTCACTCGGGGACCTGGGCTGGCTCACTCAGACGATGGAGTCCACAGTCCCTCGTAAACGTGTGCAAGTTGGCCAAACCCCAGTCCCTTTCCAGAAAACATGAATGCAAGGGCTCTTACCAACAGTATACTTTCTGAATTTAACACTCAGTACTCTGACACTTGACAAATCCACAACCGAATGCTCAGGCACTGACTTATGTTAAGATCTGTTTTCCCTAACGTGACTCAAAATGTCCTCAAGTAGGGAAGTGGCTCCAGATAGCATGTGTGTGTTCTGACGGCCATAAAGGCACAGTCTCTGCATTTTCACACTTGTCCAGATCTCTTCAGGAGTAACTGTGACTGGCCCGAAGCCTCAAGCTGTTTATAAGGTTTCTGTCACTTGTTTAGCAACAAGATTTTAATGAGGGTCCTTCTTTCAAACCACATTAGCAAACATTCATATGATGGTGATGTCGCTACAATGGTATTCTGAAACAGCCCAATTTAAATCACTTCTGTCTCTCAATAATAAGTGTTAAAGTGTTTGTACACCTGTAAATAAATATTCACCTTTAACCACTACAAAAATGAACTGTCATTCACTTACATATACCTTAATGTAATGCAAATAAATATCAGTAAAGAGTGAGAGTAGAGAGATGATTAAAAGTTATTCCAAACTTTAAAGAAGTTTAGGCTTAAAAACAGCATTCAAGACTTTTTTTCTTTAAAATGTCAAGAACATGAAATTCTTTCTTTTGTAAACCCTCCTTTTTCTGAAAGAAACTACTGAATATCATATAAAATAAACTATAGGTAAACATATTGTGTGAGCATGATAAAATCTGCATCAAGTGAAGCTAGGGAAAACAGAGATAAAGTCTTCCCCCAACTTTAGTCTAAGATAATGGGCAAAATAATCATACTGTAATTAAGTTCAAGAATATATAATTTCCAGTTTATATAAGAAACGACTTAGGGAAACTCCAGATAAAAGCAGTAAGAGAAAGCAATGGTTTGGAATTCATTGCTTTTCACTCATTTAATTTATGAACTTTGGAATGTATCTTAATATTGAAATAACCACCATAACTAAGTTTCCTAATTAAGCCAAAGATGAGCAGCAAAGTGTGTGTGGGAGCAGAGAGACTGGCCTCCCACACGTCATCAGTGTCAAGCGACACACAGTTCTGCAGACACAGTCATCCAGTCATTCAGGTAGGACTACAGCATTCAGTGAGAGACAGCAATTTAAAAACATACCAGATTAAAAGAAGTAATTCCAATGTTTCACATTTCTGACCAGAACCACTCCTTTTATAATTCCAACAATTTATATTTTCTAAACAATCCTGAGCTTATGAATTTTTACACAGCTATCTTTAGACATAGCACTTATTTCTAACTTTCTAGTACTTTTATTTCCTCAATCAGGGAAGTACTTAATAAAGTACCTATTTTGTTTCCAGCATTATAAAAAGTAGAGCTGTATTTAGGTACCAATGTAATTTAGAATTTTTAACATGTAAGTTCTATGTAATATTTCTGTGACTAAACCACCATCTTGATAGTCTCACTTTTAAATCTGGAAC